TAATTAATGACATTCCAACAAAGAAAAATATGCAAATGAGAGCTCATTAGCATTTTCATATTCAGCTTTGATAATGCTTTTGCTGACAAGGTTGTAATTAATGAAAATTCATGTCGCAGGCAGGAGATTGGATCGGTTTCATTCCGCTCACAATTCCCAAATGCTTGCATTATGGAAAATCGGCGCCGCTGCCAACTTTTGCAGGGAAGGAAAAAACACACACACACACACACACACACACACACACACACACACACGCACTAAAAGCACCAGATGCAAATGGAGGGGAGGGAGACGTTAACTCCTTCCAGCCCTGGCCCCCTCCCAAAAAACCCCAAAAAACCCCAAAAAAACCTCCCCAAAAAAACCCCCCAAAAAACCCCAAAAAAACCAAAAAACAACAACCCAGAAACCAAACCCAGTGGGGTGGATTGGGTTTGGTTTTGACTTTTGGGGGTGTTCACATGCAAAAGAAGCTGGTTTTTCCTCTGTGTTTACATGGGAAAAAAGCCCATCATCAAAAAACAAAAACCAAAAACCAAAAAAGAAACCCAAAAAACCCCAAAAAGCTTTGGGATCACTGGGCGATCTTTGGGATCGTTGGGAGATCTTTGGGACAATGGGGATTGGTGCCGTTCCCGGTGGCCCTGGGAACGGGGATTGGTGACGTTCCTCATCCGTTTGGGACTGGGATTGGTGATGCTCCTCATCCGTTTGGGAACGGGATTGGTGATGCTCCTCATCCGTTTGGGAACGGGGGTTGGTGCCGTCCCCGGTGGCTCCGGGAACGGGGGTCGGTGACAATGGGGGTCGGTGCCATTCCCGGTGCCTTTGGGAGCAGGGGTCGGTGCCATTCCCGGTGGCTCCGGGAACGGGGCTTGGTGACAATGGGGGTCGGTGCCATTCCCGGTGGCTCCGGGAACGGGCACGTGCCGCCGTCCCCGGCGGCCATTCGGAGCCGCTCCCCCCCCAGCCCTCGCCATTGTCGCGCTCTCCCCGAACCCTCGAGCAGGAAGGTGTCGGGACCATCCCATCCCATGCCAAGGGTGTCCCCCCTCGCTGGGGACCCCCGTCCCCCCCGGGGCCATCCCGGCGCCGCCGTACGGGCCGCACGGAACACCGAGCTCGTCACAGAGAACGGACCCGACCGCACCGGACCGGACCGGACCGGCCGCGGAGCCGGGAAAGGCCGCGGGCACCGGGGCTGGCACGGCACGGCGCGTCCCGCCAGGGGCGGGCACGGGCAGATCGGCACTGACAGCTGCCCTGGCTGGCCGTGTGGGACTGGGGACATAGAGGTTAAAACTGGGATTCTGGGGATGTGGGACCGGGGATACAGAGGTTAAAAACTGGGATTTTTGGGGTTTCAACCTTAGGGATGCAGAGTTTGGAAATTGGGATTTTTGGGGATTCAATATTAAGGATTCCAAGCTGCACAATTGGGATTTTTGAGGATATGGGATTGGGGATACAGAGCTGCAAATTTGGGATATAACCTGGATTATCCCGTGCATGGCAAGGCCTGGGGGCCGTTAATTAATTACAGGGACATAATTGATATATTTAGGGATATAATATGGATTATCAAGGAATGGTGGCCATTAATTAATAATATGGATTTAATTAATATATTTAGGAATATAATATGGATTATCCTGTGCATTGAACGTTGTGGTGGCCATTAATTAATTATATTGATATAATCAATATATTTAGGATTATAACATGGATTATCCTGTGCATGGCAAGGTGTGCTGGCCGTTAATTAATTATATGGATTTAATTAATATATTTAGGAATATAATATGGATTATCCTGTGCATTGAACGTTGTGGTGGCCATTAATTAATTATATTGATATAATCAATATATTTAGGATTATAATATGGATTATCGAAGAATGGTGGCCGTTAATTAATAATGTGGATATAATTAATATATTTAGGATTATAACATGGATTATCCTGTGCATGGCAAGGTGTGCTGGCCGTTAATTAATTATATGGATTTAATTAATATATTTAGGATTATAATATGGATCATCAAAGAATGGTGGCCATTAATTAATAATATGGATTTAATTAATATATTTAGGAATATAATATGGATTATCCTGTGCATTGAACGTTGTGGTGGCCATTAATTAATTATATTGATATAATCAATATATTTAGGATTATAATATGGATTATCGAAGAATGGTGGCCGTTAATTAATAATGTGGATATAATTAATATATTTAGGATTATAACATGGATTATCCTGTGCATGGCAAGGTGTGCTGGCCGTTAATTAATTACAGGGATATAATCAATTTTTGGGATCGATATTTCCCTTTGGAATCTTCTCCTTTTTCACTTCATTTTAATCCCGTTTTTTCTCTTAATGATCCAATTTTCCCAGAAAAAGTTCCTGGTTTGGTTTGGGGATTCTCCTTTAATTTGGTATTAATTTGTCATTTTTTTGTCATTTTTTGGTCATTTTTTTGTCATTTTTTGTCATTTTTTGGTCTTTTTTTGGTCATTTTTTTGTCATTTTTTGGTCATTTTTTTGTCATTTTTTGGTCATTTTTTTGTCATTTTTTGTCATTTATTTCGTCATTTATTTGTCTTTTTTTAATCATTTTTTGATCTTTTTTTTGTAATTTTTAATCATTTTTTTGTCATTTATTTGTCATTTATTTGTCATTTTATTGTCATTTTTTTATCACTTTTTGTCATTTTTTGGTCTTTTTTTGTCCTTTTTTTGTCATTTTTTGTCTTTTTTTGTCCTTCTTTTGTCATTTATTTTGTCATTTTTAAATCATTTTTTAATCATTTTTTGATCATTTTTTGTCATTTTTTTGTTATTTTTTGTCATTTATTTGTCTTTTTTTGGTCATTTTTTTATCTTTTTCTGTCATTTTTTTGGTCATTTTTTGTCATTTATTTTGTCATTTATTTTCTAATTTTTTTCTAATTTATTTTCTAATTGAATTAATCCTTCAAGGGGAGCACGTCGGGCTCTTTCCCCATCAGACAACCCTCAAATCCTAAAACAATAAAATAATAAAAATCCAGGAATAAAATAATAATTCCACCTGCTAAAATCCCAATTAATTCCTGACCCAATTTCCCCTCCATCCAACCCCCAAAAATCAATAATTTAAATATTTAAATAATTTAATCTATTAAATATCTTTAATATTAATATTTAAATATTAATATTAAATCTATTAAAGATCTTAAATGTTAATATTTAAACATTAATATTAAATACATTCAATACATTTAATATTAATATTTAAATATTAATATTAGATATGTTAAATATATTTAATATACTTAATATTAATATTTAAATATTAATATTAAATATGTTAAATATATTAAATACATTTAATATTACTATTTAAATGTTAATATTAATATTAAAGTTTTAATGTAAAATTAGGGGGAAATTTGGGAATTCACAGGAAATCCCAAAGGGAAATCAATCAAGGACGAGCTCGTTAATTTCTCCGACTCCTCCATTAAAAAACTAAATAAAACACCCCAAAAAAAAGAATTTCTAAAACTATTTTTAACATCTAGCCATTAAAAAAAGATTTCAGCACTGACTGAGGAGTTGGAACTAGTTAAGGCAGGGACGTTTGCGGCTCCGGTGCTCGGAGCGGGGTTTGTGTTGGTTGGGTTTGGGAGTCGTGGCCGCGGCCTTGGCGGCGCCGAGCCAGGAGCAGCCCGCAGCGGCTGCCGCGGCGCCGGGAGCGCATCGCTTCACTGCTTCCTTCCTTCCTGGGTTCCTTCCTGGGGACATCGCTTCACTGCTTCCTTCCTTCCTGGGTTCCTTCCTGGGGACATCGCTTCACTGCTTCCTTCCTTCCTGGGTTCCTTCCTGGGGACATCGCTTCACTGCTTCCTTCCTTCCTTCCTTCCTTCCTGGGGACATCGCTTCACTGCTTCCTTCCTTCCTTCCTTCCTTCCTGGGGACATCGCTTCACTGCTTCCTTCCTTCCTGGGTTCCTTCCTGGGGACATCGCTTCACTGCTTCCTTCCTTCATTCCTTCCTGGGGACATCGGGGGGGAATAATGGGGAAATAACGGGGGGAAATAATGGGGACATGGGGAAATGGGGGGGAAATAATGGGAAAATAATGGGAAAAAATGGGGTGGGAAAAATGGAAAAAATGGGGAAAAATGGGAGAAATGGGATGGGAAAAATGGAAAAAGAAGGGGAAAAATGGGATGGGAAAAATGGGAAAAAATGGGGAAAAAATGGGGAAAAATGGGGGAAAAATGGGAAAAATGGGAAAAAACGGGGATAAATGGGATGGGAAAAATTCCGGGGGGAAAAATGGGATGGGAAAAATGGGAAAAAATGGGGAAAAAATGGGGAAAAATGGGGAAAAATGGGAGAAAATGGGGAAAATGGGAAGAAAACTAGAGGAAAAAAAGAGAAAAAAAGGGAAAATAATGGGAAAAAAAATGGGAAAAAAATGGAATGGGAAAAATTCCGGGGGGAAAAATGGGATGGGAAAAAAATGGGAAAAAAATGGGAATGGGGAAAAAGTTGGATTTTGGGAGCAGCTCCGAAGTTCTCGTGGCTCAAAGTGGAAAAAAATCCACACACAGGGAGGTGGAGAAAAATCTATTTAATCCCAAAAAAAATTGGAATTTTTGGAGGGAGATCCCCTCTTAATTTGGGATTTTTTGTCCAATTTTTATTTGGGATTTTTTGTCCAAAATTCCTATTTTTAAATCCCTGGTTTGGAATTGTCGCCATCAACGCAGGGCGGGGTTAAACCGGGCTTAACGCAAAATTCCGGATTCATGGAATTTTTTCCTCTTCCATCCCAAAAATTTGGGGTGAAAAATGGGGGAAAACGGCTGAGTTCTCAGGGCGGGACGAGGAAAATTCCAATTTTTTAATCCCAGTTTGGAATCGTCGCCATCAACGCGGGGCGGGGTTAAGCCGGGCTTAGGAAAATTCCGGATTTATGGAATTTTTTCCTCCTTTTCCAGGTAAATCAGAACGAGGCTCGTACTCGTCCTACGGGCGGGATTCCAACCTCCAGGGCTGCCACCAGGTCAGTGAAAAAAAAAACCCAAAAATTTGGAATTTTGAGGTTTCCTGCCGGGAATTTTTTGTCCCAAAATCGGTGAAAATTTGAGCTGGAGTCGAAAAAATAAGGATGGATGTGGAAATTTGATTTTTTTATCCATTTTTTTGAATGTTTGGGGGTTGGATTTGGATGGAAGTGAAGGGCGGGTTGATGGAGGAGAGCTGGAATAGAATTAGGATTAGAATTAAAATTAAAAATAAAATTTAAATTAGAATTAAAATTAAAAAATTAAAATGGAAATTAAAATTAGAATTAAAATTAAAAGTAACAATTAAAAATAAAAATAAAATTAAAATTAGATTTAAAAGTAAAATTTAAAATAAAATTAGAATTGAAATTCGAATTAAAAATAAAAATTAAGACTAAAAATAAAATTAAAATGAAAACTAGAAATTAAAATGAACAATTAAAATAAAAAATTAAAATTAAAATTTAAAATAAAATTAAAATTAGAATTAGAATTTAAATTAAATTAAATTAAACGGCGGCAGAACCCGCGTCGGGAATTTCACCTTGGGAAGCGAAATGGGAATTTCCAGGTTGGGAAGCGACCGATTTTCCATGGGAAAAAACCGGGAAAAGTTGGATTTGGGAACGCGGGAAGCGCTGGGAGCGTTGGGAATTCCGGCTGGGAACGGAAACATTCCCAGATTTCCCGTGGGAATCCCGCCCTGAGGAAGAGGAGGCCGATGCCAGCTCGGGAACTCTGGGAACTCTGGGAAAGGAGGGCTCCAGTCCCGTGATCCCAGGGCAGAGGAGCCCTGGGGCAGCTGGGGATTCCCTTTTATTCCTTTCCCCTTTCCCCTTTCCCTTCTCCTTTTCCTTTTTCCTTTTCCTTCTGTTTCCCTTTTTTCTTTTCCTCTTTCCCTTTTCCTTCCCCTTTCTCTTTTGTTCCATTTTCCTTTTCTCCTTTTCCCTTTCCCTTTTCTTTCCCTTTTTCCTTTTTCATTTTTCATTTTTTCCTTTTTCCTTTTCCTTCTCATTTTCTTTCTCATTTTCCTTTTCCCTTTTCCTTTTTCCCTTCCCCTTTTCCTTTTCCCCTTTTTTTCCTTTTCTCCTTTTTGTTTTCCCTTTTCCTTTTCTTCCCCTTTTCTTTTTCCCCTTTTTTCCTTTTCTCCTTTTCCCTTTCTCCTTTTTATTTTTTCCTTTTACTCTTTTCCTTTTCCCCTTTTCCCTTTCCTTTTTCCTTTTCCTTTTTTTGTTTTTTCCTTTCCCTTCTCATTTTCTTTCTCATTTCCCCTTTTCCTTTTCCTTCTCATTTTCCTTTTTCTTCTGTTTTTCTTTTTTCTTTTCCTTTTTCTTTTCCTTCTGCTTTTCTCCTTTTCATTTTCCTTTTCCCCTTTTCCTTTCCCTTCCCCTTTTCCTTTTCCTTTTCTCCTTTTCCATTTTCCTTTTCCTCCTCATTTTCCTTTTTCCTTTTCCTTCTGTTCCATTTTCCTTTTCCATTTCCATTTCCATTTCCTTTTCCCTTTTCCTTTTTCCTTCTCCTTTCCCCTTTTCCTTATTTTCCTTTTTACCTTTTTCCTTTTCCTTTTCCTTTTCCTTTTCCTTTTCCTTTTGTTCCCTTTTCTCCTTTTCCCTTTTTATTTTTTCCTTTTCCCCTTTTCCTTTTCCTTTCCATTTTCCATTTTCCTTTCCCCTTCCCCTTCCCCTCTTCCTCTTCCTCCTCTTCCCAAAAAACCTCCGGAAAACCCCAAATCCCCCAAATTTCCCAAAATTTTTCCCCTTAAACCTTTAAAATCCTCAGAGAAATTCCCGAAAATTCCCATTTTTTTCCCCCAAAATATTCCCGACATCCCCGGAGCCGCGGCCTCGTCCTCATCCCACAAAATCCCCAAATTCCCAATCCTAAAATTCCCAATTTTAAAATTCCCAATTCCAAAATTCCAAAATTCCCAATCCTAAAATTCCCGATCCCAAAATTCCCAATCCTAAAATTCCCAAAATTGGGATCGAGGTGGAAAAAAATTTGGGATCAAGGTGGAAAAAAATTGGGAAAAAAAATTGGGATCGAGGTGGAAAAAAATTGGGATCGAGGTGGAAAAAAATTTGGGATCAAGGTGGAAAAAAATTGGGAAAAAAAATTGGGATCGAGGTGGAAAAAAATTTGGGATTGAGGTGGAAAAAAATTGGGATTGAGGTGGAAAAAAAACCACAAAAAAATGGAAAATTTGGGATAAATTTTCCCATTTTTATCCCGATTTTTCCTCATTTCCAGAATTCCATAAAAACTTGAAATTCCTGTGCAATAATCGGAATTTTGGGAATTTTTTTTGTCTTTTCCCGTAGCTTTTTCCAGAGGAAAAAGTCGGGATGAGGAAGCCAAAGCTCCGTGGGGTACGTGGAATTTTTTTTCCTTTTTTTCCTTGGAAAATGATCCCAAAAAAATTCCCAAAATTCAGTTTATTTCCCAAAAATCCCAATATTTATTTAGGGGAAATTCCCGAAAATCCGTTTGATTTTTCGGGATGTAAATTCCGGCTGAAATCCCCAAATTTTTTCACTTAAAAATTTTAGGAAATTCGCAGAATATTCCCAAAAATTGGGATTTTTTTCCCAAAAAATATTCCGGATATTCCCTGGAGCTGCGGCCTCTTCCTCATTTCACAATTCCCAAAATTCCCAATCCTAAAATTCCCAATCCTAAAATTCCAATCCTAAAATTTCCAATTTTGGGAGGATTTTTGGGAATTTTTTGGGAGGAAATTTGGGATTTTTGGGAGGATTTTTGGGAATTTTTTGGAATTTTGGGGAGGATTTTAGGGAGGATTTTTGGGGATTTTTGGGAATTTTTGGGGGAATTTTTGGGAATTTTAGGGAGGGATTTTGGGGGATTTTTGGGAATTTTTTCAGAATTTTTGGGAGGATTTTTGGGACTTTTTGGAAATTTTTATGAGTATTTTGGGGAATTTTTGAGAGGATTTTTGGGAATTTTGGGAGGATTTGGGGGATTTTGGGGGTTTTTGGGAGGATTTTTGGGATTTTTTGGGAGGATTTTTGGGGATTTTTGGGAATTTTTTCTGTGGGATTTTATCCCTAAAAATTTAAATACGGGCGAGCAGCAGGGGGGGATTTTTGGGAGGATTTTTGGGAGGATTTTTGGGGATTTTTGGGAGGATATTTGGGAATTTTGGGAATATGCAGACAGGATTTTGTGAGGACCAAGAGGGAATTTTTGGGAGGATGGAGAGGGGATTTTGTCAGGATGCAGACGGGATTTTTGGAACGATGAAAAAGGAATTTTTGGGAGGATGGTGAAGGAATTTTTATGACGATGAAGAGGGAGTTCTGTGAGGGTGAAGAAGGAATGTTGTGAGGATGCAGAGAGAATTTCTGTGATCATGGAGAGGGATTTTTGTGTGGATGAAGAGGGGATTTTGTCAGGATGAAGAGGGAATTTCTGTGATGATGGAGAGGGATTTTTGTGAGAATGATGAGGGAATTTCGTGAGGATGGAGAGGGAAACTTTGTGAGGATGGAGAGGGAATTTTGTCAGGATGCAGACGGAATTTTTTGTGAGGCTGCAGACAGGTTTTTTGTGATGATGAAGAGGGAATTTTAGGACGATAGAGAGGGAATTTTGTCAGGATGCAGACGGGATTTTTGTGACGATGGAGAGAGAATTTTTTTGAGGATAGAGATGGGATTTTTGTGTGGACGAAGAGGGAATTTTTGTGAGGATGTTGATGGGATTTTTGGGAGGATGGAGACGCAACTTTGTGAGGATGGAGAGGGGATTTTTGTCAGGTTGCAGAGGGGATTTTTGCGATGATGGAGAGGGAATTTTGTGGTGATGCAGGCGGCAGTTTTGGGAGGATGAAGAGGGAATTTCGTGAGGACGAAGAGGGAATTTTGAGACGACAGAGAGGGATTTTTGTGAGGATGAAGAGGGGATTTGGAGAGGATGGAAAGGGAATTTTTGTGATCGTGGAGAGGGAATTTTTGGGAGGACGAAGAGGGAATTCTGTGAGGATGAAGAGGGAATTTTGTGACGAGAGAGAAGGAATTTCTGCAAGGATGCAGACAGGATTTTGTGACGATGGAAAAGGAATTTTGTGAGGATGGAGAGGGAATTTCTGCGAGGATGAAGAGGGAATTTTGGGACGATAGAGAGGGAATTTTGTGAGGATGAAGAGGGGATCTTGTGAGGCTGAAGACAGGATTTTTGTGAGGATTGAGAGGGAATTTCGTGAGGACGAAGAGGGAATTTTTTGAGGATGCAGACAGAATTTTTGTGAGGATGAAGAGGGGATTTTTGTCAGGTTGCAGAGGGGATTTTTGCGATGATGGAGAGGGAATTTTGTGGTGATGCAGGCGGCAGTTTTGGGAGGATGAAGAGGGAATTTCGTGAGGACGAAGAGGGAATTTTTTGAGGATGCAGACAGAATTTTTGTGAGGATGAAGAGGGGATTTTTTTGAGGATCCAGACGGGAGTTTTGGGAGTATGGAGCCGAAACTTCGTGAGGATGGAGAGGGGATTTCTGTAAGGATGGAGAGGGGATTTGGTGAGGATGGAAAGGGAATTTTTGTCAGGATGCGGACGGGATTTTTGTGATGATGAAGAGGGAATTTTGTGAGGATGCAGACGGAATTTTCTGAAGATGAAGAGGGAGTTTTTGTGAGGATAAAGACAAAACTTTGTGAGGATGGAAAGGGGATTTTTGTGAGGACGAAGAGGGAATTTTTATGACGATGAAGAGGAAATTTTTGGGCAGATTAAGAGGGAATTTTGTGAGGATGCAGACGGGATTTTGTGACAATGGAAAAGGAATTTCGTGAGGATGAAGAGGGAATTTCTGTGATGATGGAGAGCGAATTTCATGAGGATGCAGACGGGAATTTTGTGAGGATGAAGAGGGGATTTTGGCACGATAGAAGAGGGAATTTTGTGAGGATGTAGACAGAAATTTTGTCAGGATGCAGACGGGATTTTTGGGAGTGTGGAGACGAAACTTTGTGACAATGCAGACGGAATTTTTGTGATGACGAAGACAAAACTTCGTGAGGATGAAGAGGGAATTCTGTGACAATGGAGAGGGAATTTTATGATGATGCAGAGAGAATTTTGTGAGGATGAAGAGGGGATTTTTGGGAGTATGGAAAGTGGATTTTTGGGACAGTGGAGAGGGAATTTCTGTGAGGATAAAGAAGGAATTTTTGTGAGAATGCAGAGGGGATTTTGTGAGGATGAAGAGGGGATTTTTGGGAGTACGGAGCCAAAACTTTGTGAGGCTGGAGAGGGACTTTTGTGATGATGGAGAGGGAATTTTTTTGAGGATGCAGACGGAATTTTTATGATGATGATGAGGGAATTCTGGGATGATAGAGAAGGAATTTTTGCAAGGATGCAGACGGGATTTTGTGACAATGGAAATGGAATTTTATGAGGATGAAGAGGGAATTTTTGTGAGGATAAAGACAAAACTTTGTGAGGATGAAGAGGGGATTTTGTGACGAGGAAGAGGGATTTTTATGAGGATATAGACGGGATTTTTGTGAGGATAAAGATGAAACTGTGTGAGGATGGAAAGGGAATTTCTGTGACGATGAAGGGATTTGTGAGGATGCAGACAGGATTTTTGTGATGATGGAAAAGGAATTTTGGGAGGATGAAGAGGGGATTTTTGGGAGGATGAAGAGGGAATTTTTTGAGGATGCAGACGGGATTTTTGGGAGTATGGAGAGGGAATTTTTGTAAGGATGAAGAGGGAATTCTGTGACGATGAAGAGGGAATTTTGGCACGATAGAGAGGGAATTTTGTCAGGATGCAGACGGGATTTTTTGAAGATGAAGAGGGAATTTCTGTGACAATGAGGAGGGAATTTTTTTGAGGATGTAAATGGCGTTTTTGGGAATATGGAGAGGGAATTTTGTGAGGATGATGAGGGGATTTGTGAGGATGCAGACGGGATTTTTGGGAGTATGTAGACAGGATTTCTGTGAGGATGAAGAGGGAATTTTGGGACGATAGAGAGGGAATTTTGTGAGGATGGAGACGGGATTTTTGTGACCAGAGAGACAAAACTTTGTCAGGATGGAGACGGAATTTTTGCGAGAATGAAGAGGGAATTTCGTGAGGACGCAGAGGGAATTTTATGACGCTGAAGAGGGAATTTTATTAGGATATAGACGGAATTTTTGTGAGGATAAAGATGAAACTGTGTGAGGATGGAAAGGGAATTTCTGTGAGGATGAAGAGGGAATTTTGTGAGGATGAAAAGAAAATTTTTGTGAGGATGAAGAGGGAATTTTGTGAGGATGAAGAGGGAATTTTGTGAGGATGAAGAGGGAATTTCTGTGACGATGAAGAGGGAATTTTGTGAGGATGAAGAGGGAATTTTGTGAGGATGAAGAGGGAATTTTGTGAGGATGAAGAGGGAATTTTGTGAGGATGAAGAGGGAATTTTGTGAGGATGAAGAGGGAATTTTTGTGAGGATGAAAAGGGAATTTCTGTGACGATGAAGAGGGAATTTTGTGAGGATGAAGAGGGAATTTTGTGAGGATGAAGAGGGAATTTTTGTGAGGATGCAGACGGGATTTTTATCGCGATGATGGGCGACCATCCCCTACGAACACTGAGCAATTTTTCCCTGCAAACAATTTCACCCCCCTTGAATCGGGACCAGCCAGATAAATTAATTACTAAACAGATTAATTAATGATTGAACGGTCAGATTAATTAATAAACAGATTAATTAATTAATGAAGGGACAGACAAACAACTCCCCGATCTCTCCTGCTCATCCCAACTCCGAGCCGGCGCCGAGCGGGTTAAACGCGAGCCGGGGGGGCCCGGCCGTAATTGGCCAATTTAGCAGCTCATTTGCATATGAATGAGGCGGCGGCGAAGCAGCGCCGAGCGCGCGGCGGTGATTAGAATTTCGATTAGGGCTGCGCTAATTGCGCCGCTGATTAGCGAGCGGGGGGTGCGGGGGAGGCCGCGGGTTCGAGACCCGCGCCGGGAGATACAGCACGGGCGGATCGATAATTGATTTATCGATCGATAATTCATTTATGGGTCGATAATTCATTAATAGAGCGATAATTCATTTGCAGATCGATAATTCCCCTATAGATCGATGATTCATTTGCAGATCGATAATTCAGCTATAGATCGATAATTCATTTATGGATCGATAATTCACCTATAGATTCATAATTTGTGGATTGATAATTCACCTATAGATCGATAATTCATCTATAGATCAATAATTCACCTATAGATCGATAATTCATTTGCAGATCGATAATTCAGCTATAGATCGATAATTCATTTATGGATCGATAATTCACCTATAGATTGATAATTCATTTATAGAGGGATAATTCATTTAT